TTATATTTTACATTTCGAAATGTTACAACTTATATTATTCAAGGGTGGGGGTGTAAAAATAAATAGGGGTTAACATTAAAGTTTAGTGGGGGGGGGGGCGTCTTATTTTAAAAAGGAACATTAAACATAAAAAGCATGGATAACAACATATTTTTCTATAACCGCATTGAAGGGATTCCGTGAATAAAACTTGTTGAAATAGCAACATGGATCGTGGTCTGCTCTCTTCGTGTTGCAGGCAGACTAGGCTCGACCTATTAGGCTCGACCAATTAGGCATCGACCAATTAAGCATCGAGTCTGGAGAACATGCATAAATTAGCATTGCTTGCAGAACACCAGACCGGTTTTCTAAGTTAAAAATCAATTGCGCTGTGAAATATTAAAATTTTTACAGCCTGTCTATGAGAGGAGGTAAAAATAACTCCAAACCAAGATCGACCAGCTGATGTAAGTTGGTGGTGGTGTGCTAGAGTGAGTTCATCGTCGCTGTTTCGTTTACATGATGAGTAGTTGACACCTGCATCGTCTTGTGAGTGTCTGATATTGTGAATCGTTGATGGTAGTCGGTATTTAGCTCTTTATTAGATGCTGATTGGCTGTGATTTTAACGATATTTTTTTGTTTGGTGTTTCAGAAGTAAGAAAAAAACGGAGGCTGCAAGAAATGGAGGACAAACGGAGAATACGAGGTATGTTGGTGGTTTAGATGGTAGTCGTTGTGCTGTAGGTTTAGCTCACATTTATTGCACTGTAGGTTAGCTCATAATTATTGCACTGTAGGTTTAGATCGTAGTCGTTGTGTCGTTGTGCTGTAGGTTTAGCTCATGTCATTGCACTGTAGGTTTAGCTCATATTTATTGCACTGTAGGTTTAGATCGTAGTCGTTGTGCTGTAGGTCTAGCTCATGTCATTGCACTGTAGGTTTAGATAATCTCATTGCATTGTAGGTTTAGCTCATGTCATTGCGCAGTAGGTGTAGATAACCTCATTGCATTGTAGGTTTAGCTCATGTCATTGCGCAGTAGGTGTAGATAACCTCATTGCATTGTAGGTTTAGCTCATGTCATTGCGCAGTAGGTGTAGATAACCTCATTGCATTGTAGGTTTAGCTCATGTCATTGCGCAGTAGGTGTAGATAACCTCATTGCATTGTAGGTTTAGCTCATGTCATTGCGCAGTAGGTGTAGATAACCCCATTGCACTATATGTTAAGCTCATCTTCTCATATATAGCTCGGTATAGATCATGTCAAAACAATTTAGGATTCTGAATCTATTTTTTCTTACACTCATAAAAATGTGCCTCAGAAATCTTTCATTACAACAAAAAAAAACATCGAACGTTAGGGCTAGTCGGGGATTTTTCTTCAAATAACATTTTTAAACTTGAAATCGATCCCAGGTAAATAGCATCACACGTCTTAGATTACCTTTGTTTTTAATACGACGTCATATTTTTAAGCCGTCACAATTTTTAAATTCTAATCTCATCGAGCGGCCTCCCCCACCCCCCACCCCCTTATTCCTCTCCAAACCATCTCTCTATTGACCATATTTCAGACTACCCCCCCCCCTCTTCACACCTCCCCGTCTTTCTATTTCTCATCTCGTCGACATCATAGTCCCCCCCCCCCCCCCCCCCACACACACACACCATCATTTGAGACAATATTTTCTGTTTTTTTAGCCTGCTAAGTTCTTGTTCATTCCTTTTTCATTTAAATATTGTTCAAGTATTTTCTACCACTATTACTCTACACAAAAAAAGAAAGAAAATAAAACAGAAAAAAAAATCGGCATTTGTATTGGCTACACAATTCATCTCAAATAAATAAAACCAAGTGTATATTGATTCGTCCTGTTTCGGCCGTCGATTTGAGTGCAATAAAAAGTTGATTAATAATTAAACGATCGCAAGACAAAAGAGCTGTTGAGGCAGTCAAGCGTTGAGCGTCCTCTGTTCAAATGTTGAATGCAAACTGATCATCGGTTCGGTCTGTGTTTGGTCTGTATTGTTGTATGCCTGTTATGTAAGTAATTTATACAGTTCGTTGTGTAGGCAAGTGCTGGTGTTCCCTATACAAGTGGTTGGTCTGGTGATGTGGTGGTGATGGTGTGTGGTGCTGCCGCTGTGGTGCAGTTGTTAATCTGAAGGTGTTGTTATTATTATAGTGGTGGTGTTTTTTGTGAGAAATTGTTTAGACGGTCATGGTTGAATGAAGATGATAGGGTGATGATATTTGGATTAAAGTGTTGCAGGGATATTGATCTTTGAAATAAGATATTGCTTTAGTGATTTTGAAAGAACGTGTTGTGGGGATTGTGATTTCGATAAAATTGTTATTCTTGTGTTGACCTGTTATTAACATCGCTGTATGTCAAATTGGTACTATCACTGTAGAATCATCATGAGTTGCACGTTTTTGTGAGGTTTAGTTAAGATTTTGTTGCTGGTTTTGTTTCGTTGCTTCCACCACCGTTCCCAACTCCTAATTTTTTGAATCCATTGACAGATGTGAGCACGTGACCTCACGAGACTTAGTTTGATCTCGTCATAAAAAAATACTTAGTGCATAAGGTCACGTGATATTTTGGTCTTCTGCAGATCCTAAGAAGATTATCATTAAGTAGGGTGTGGAGTCTTAGGGAGAGGGGGCTTTACCATGAGACCTCATAAACTTTGCAGACCAAAAGATTTACCATAAAACCTAATTAAACTGAAAAGAACAAAAGATGTATTATAAAACGTAATAAAATTTAATAGACCAAAAAATATTTTAAAACACAATTAAACCAAAGATTTTTTTTAAATACTAAACTTGTGTAGACCAAGATATTTGCCAAGAAAATTCAATATTTTATATAAATTGTTCTGTTCCTTGTATATATCTCAATCTTCTGTTCTTAATACATATATCAATGTATATTTTAAAGCTATCCACGGGTCTCAGGAAGAGCATCAAGCCTAGCCCCCTCCTCCCACTCGCAATATGTTATTATAAAGTGTGTATGCTTAAAACTCAAGACTAGATCCATCTGTGATGCTACCCCTATCTCCAAGCACATGTCGTAGTGGGTGACTTTAAAAAATAGTTTCGATGAAGTTTTTATAAGAAATAAAGTTTGTCTTATCACTGGTGTCATTAGAAGAAAAACATCGCCATTTGTATCAAAAAGCAAACACGCCATATTGTCACAAAGCAAACATCAGCATAATGTCAAAAAGTAAACATCGCCGTTTTGTCACAAAGTAAACTTCACCGTATTGTCACAAAGCAAACATCGACATTATGTCAAACATCACAAAGCAAACATCATTAAACTGTTACAAAACATACACCACCATAATGTCTCAGAGCAAACATACCCATAATGTCAAAAAGCAAACATCAATATGCTTTTAAAAATATACACCACCATAATGTCTCAGAGCAAACAACACCATAATGTCAGAAAGCAAAAATCACCATGCTGTTTTTTAACATACACCACAATAATGTCACAAAACAAACATAGCCATAATGTCACAAAACAAACATGGCCATAATGTCACACAACAAACATCGCCATAATGTCACAAAACAAACATCGCCATAATGTCACAAAACAAACATAGCCATAATGTCACACAATAAACATGACCATAATGTCACACAACAAACATGGCCATAATGTCATTAAGTATCATGAACCTTGTGGCCAGAAGCTGGCCAGACGAAGGTCACGTCTACGTCACGTGACCTGGAGATAACGTCTGTTTACCTCGTCTCGCTCTCGGGGCGAGACTTCAAATGTCACGTGGTTAATGACACGTTGGTGTGGTAATTAGCGGTAGTACACATCACAAATGTCGCGAACGACCGGCCCAGCATGACATAATACTTCATCTATGCTGGTAATTTCTTATCTTTTATCTCTCCCGACCCTCCTTGAATAAACTTAGTTTTCCCTTAGTTAAAAATAGCTTTTGATCTATTTCTGATGTGTATACTTGACCTTCCAATCTTTTACTATGGTATCTTATTGTCGTCTCTATAAGGTTTTATTTATCTTAGATACATCTGTCGTGCTCATTGCTATCTCTGTCCTTTATGGGTCAAATCTTTTTTACGAAATTTCAACTACAAAACCGATTTGTTTTAAACTATTACCCCATAACTGGATAGTTTAACGCAGTGGCGTAGCGAGGTCGTGTGTCACCCGGTGCGGCACTTAATGGAGTCACCCCCCAGAGGCATAACGACCCTTCCCGGGGACAAACTTTCAAATTTTCGATTTGCACCCCTTCCCCCCCGTCAAGTTTTTCTCTATATATTTTGCTATTTTTTGCCTTGGTGTCACCCCCTAAATGGTGTCACCCGGTGCGGTCCGCACCCCCGCCCCCCCCCCCCCCCCTCGCTACGCCTCTGGTCGGGTTTAATGGAAAAGAAATGCTAGAAAAAAATGCTGAAACACAATTTCTGAACTTTTTAGATAATACGTAAAAATATAAATAGTATTTTAAAATTTCTAAAAAAAAATTATTTCTATGGGACTACGTGCCGTTAAACTGCTAACCAGAACGAAGTAACGTTCCTTTTGGACCTGGCGGCCCACCTGTTTCTGTGACTTAAACATATGCAAGGATAGTGTGGTCAGCACTATGCCGAGCCGCCTTTATCTAACGTAAGATAAGTACCCATCAGAGTAAGGCTCAAGCCAAGGAATCGGACTCGAGACTTCGTGGTAGCGGAAGAATGCTCTACAATTCGACCACGCCGTCTCAAAATAAAAAAAAAACTAATCGTAAGCTGTTTACAAATAATTTAAAAATTTTAAACTATTTTACAAACTAACTGTAAATCATGTGCAAATTAATTATAAGCCGTATAGACTAACTGTAAAAGATGTTTAATCCACCCCCACCCCTCAGGTTTAGACTAACTGTAAAAAAAGATGTTTAACCTACTCCCACCCCCGTGTATAATAACTGTAAAAGATGTTTCACGTACACCCCCCAGGTGACTCCCACTGGTCCAAAGTCCTGCAAGTGAACACAGACACCAACGGACTGAGACACAAAAAATGTATCCGCATGTGCCGGAGCTTCAGCCTGCGGGAACCCCCCACCTGCCGCCTGGGGCTGCACCTCAACAAAACCGAACCCCCAAGGGCGGCGGAAACTGGAATCTTCACCTCCATCGCTTCACGGATCCGCCACTGGCTTCAGTCCAAGAGACGGTACGAAGTCTCCCCAGTCAAAGAGACGGCAGGCGGCGACAGGGCGGACAAACCCAACGGCGCCGAGGGCGGGGATTTCACCGCTGCTTCCGTCAACGGAAACACTTTACGAACTGAACCCATCAAAGAGGATTATCTAATCATCAGCCATATCAACAACTATCACCCGGAGTTGAAGCGTTCAGAGGCGTCGCGTGGGTTTAGCATCGGCGTTTCCAAATCGTCATCTGCTATTGCGTCTAGCGGCAGAAACAGCGGGACAAACACGCCGCTGATTTCTAAACTTTTCACCCACGATAAAAGTATTCCCAACGCCGGTCACAAGAAGCCGGTTGTGGACATCAACATCGAATTCGCTGACCAGATTCCGGCACCAGAGCCTCGGTCACACTTCATTAGCAACCCGCTCAAGCTGAACCAGAACCACACGTCGAAAACGTCCATCATGACTCCCGCGACGCGAGCCTTATCTAGGAGTCAGCAGCTGCGTCAGTCGAGGAATAAATACATGAAGCTTTTACAGAAAACTGGGCAGCTGAGTCCTGGCCGGTAAGTCATGACAGTTTAGCTCTGGTATTTAAGCTCTGACGGTTAAGCCATTGTATTTAAGCTCTGACATATATATATATATATATATATATATATATATATATATATATATATATATATATATATATATATATATATATATATATATATATATACATATATATATATATATATATATATATGATTTTATATGTCTGACACTTCGCTTCTAAAGTATAATCCTATCAATGTGATGACACATCGTCTATAAATGTGTCTATACCAACCATATTTCTCCACGAAGGAGTCCTCTGACCGGCACCATTAGTGCACCGGCAAAACATGGTATCGGAGAAAAGGGTTCCTCGCCTATCGTCAAACGCCGGCTGATCAAGACATGGCCGCTGCCGTGTAGGAAACAACTGCGTGCAGGTAATGTTTTTTTTCGTGGTTGTTAGCTGATATTTACCACACTACCATGGACGTCTGCTGGTATTTGCCACAGTACCATGGTCGTCTGATGATATTTACCACACTACCATGGTCGTATGTAGACGATTACCACACTACCATAGCCGTCTGCTGATAGTTGCCACACTACCATAGCCGTATGCTAACAAAATATTTACCACACTATTATATTTCAACCAATACAACTCAAATTTCACCAAGCGCGTTACATTTCATCACGCACAAGTCACATTTCAGCCAACACAAATCAAAATTCATCAACCACAAGTCAAATTTCATCAAGCGCAAGTCAAATTTCAGCCAACACAAGTCAAACTTCACCCAACAAACTTCAAACTTCAACCAACACAAGTCACATTTCAGCCAACCAACGCGCTACACTATATCACCATGTAAAAATGCGCATGATGCACACGATCACGAGAAAACAACACTGAATTCGGCATTCATCAAATATGTATGTTTCATTGTCGAAAACAAAGGTATAGCGTCTGGCCTTAACGCGAAAGTGACCGTTATTTTGTTTTTGTGAGCTGAAGTGCAGACATCATTTGATTATCAAACAGGTCACAAACGTGCTTAATCACCACCCCCCCCCCCCCCGCGTAAAAAATGTCTGAAAGAAACACTTTCTATCAATGACCTAATCATCGGATCTTAGTCCTACTCTAGAAACAGGAAAGTATTACCTTGAACCTGACGGTCCATGTGTCATGTGACCTCGGCATATGAAGGGATAATGCTCAGCACTATACCCGCTGTCTTTACTTCCCCAAGCCTTAGACCGGTACCCTTCAGAGGTGGGTGGATTCAGGGATGTATTACTAACAGGCGACCGAGGTTTGAACTCGAGACTTTCAGGTTAGCAGGCGTGCAACCAGGCCGTCACATTGATCCTATTCTGCCAATGATTTAACCCAAATAAAAAGGAATCCACCCCTCACGTGACCCCCCCTTCCCCCACTAATGGTGTCTACACAGGCTCTTGTTTCCCCACCATTACAGCAACCCGCCCACAACCAAAACACGACGTAGGTCGACACTGCATAAATAATAGCTGACTCGCTTTTGACTCCGACTTCCCGTTTTGCAGTTCGATGCTGTGGAATTATCGATTAATAAATCACCGATCGATTCTGTGAGATTATCCAGACTATGAGATCAATGGAGGATCCTCTTTAGCTGGTGACATATGCACGTGGATGTCATCGATTGGGTTGAAGTGTGTGTTGACATGTAGGGTGTTTGGCGTGACCTGACATTTGACATATGGCGAAGTTGATATCAATATGTAGTATATCAGAGAACATACAAGTTTGTGAATTGTAGAAATATATATTGAAATGTTTGTCATTAGGCGCAATATTTGACATGTGGTTAAGTTGATATCAATATGTAGTATATCAGAGAACATACACGTTTGTGAATTGTAGAAATATACATTGATATGTTTGTCATTAGACGTGACGTTTGACTTGTGGTTAAGTGGATATTACTATGGGGAATTTTGAACCTATAGGGAATGCTGCATGTAGTTCATATAACAGGTTGTTTTTTCACATGTTGAGGTAGATAATAGACTAGCTAACAGGACTTTATACATGGTGAAATAGACATCAATATCTGTATTCCCACGGACCTATTAAAATGTACGGCTTTACGGTATTTTACCTACAGCAGCTACCTAACGTCAACAAGCACGGTTCTACATAAAATATTCTCACCTGTTGCTAGCGTCACCAAGTGATAAATACCATCACAAAATACAACAGCAACACCGCCACCACTACCAACAGCTACACCAACAACAACATAGATAACAACAACACCGGCAACAACAGCAACATCATACCGCCACCACCACTATCACCAACAACAACGATAACAACAACAACAGCAACATCATACCGCCACCACCAACACTACCACCAACAACAACAACGGCGACACCAATAACATCAACACCACCACACTACCCTTAACACAACATCACAAATACCAGTAACAACAACTATCACAAACCGCTACCACCACCACCAACAAAACCAACAACAACAGCAATAACAATAACAAAAGTAGCACCGCCCCATTATCAACACTATTAACAGCAACATCGCCGCCACCACCACCAACAACAACACCGACACCACCAACATTGATAACAACACCAACAACAAAGTGAAGTACAAAATCGTGACAGAAGACCCTTGCCGTGAACACTTGATTCAAACTTTACTGTTTTTAATGCCTGTAATTTAACTTTCCTGTTTCCTGGCTAGTTTTCAAGGCCACGCCAACATACGCTACGACAGATAAATCAATAATAGAAGGAATTTAAAACCGCTTAATACTGTTGCCTTTAAACGTGCTATAGATGCTGTTAACATTATCTGTTTTAGATAAGTGGAGTTTTAATGTGGAAATTATATTGTGGATGTAGTTGTTGATTTAGAGATCGATGGCAGAAGAGAGGGAACTGAAAGCAGATACACTATTAAATGAAGTGCTGGTCTTAGTACAAAGATGAATGTACTTTCTACTTCAAAAAGAGACTAAATTGAAGTTTTACTAGTTTTAAGAAAAAACTAAACTTAATAAGTATTTTCTGTCAAGAAATAAAATAAACCTAAGTATTTCTAGTTTAGAAATTAACTGCGCTTCTGTTTGTAAGAGAAATAATATGGCGTTTCTGACCCCTGTTTAATGTAAACACATAATATGGCGGTGTATGAACCTTGTTTAATGTAAACACATAAGACTGCGGTGCCTGACCCCTGTTTAATGTAAACACATAAGATGTCGTTGTGTGACCCCTGTTTAATGTTCCAGACGATGACGACCCCTGTGTGGGGGACTCGGAGATGGAGCTGCCGTTTATTCAAGAGATGAGCATCAACTACGACAGGTGAGCTGGTTCTAACGGTGATGTGTGTATGTGTGAGCGCACGTGTGTGTATGTGTGAACGCTTGTGTGTATGTGTGAGTGTGTATGTGCGAATGTGGGCGGGTGTGAATGTGTGAGCGCTGTTTGTATGCGTGCGGATGTGTGTGTATGTGTGCGAGTGTGTGTGTTTTCGTGCGTGCATGCTTATATATGTGTGTGTGTATGCACGAGCCTGTAGTATATTTAGAAAGGGATAGAGAAAGGGACGGGGAAATCAATGTTGTTTTTTGTTTTGTTTTTTGAATTAGTAATATTGTATTAACTGGGTCTATAGAGGTACAAAAAAGCCTGTTCCCGCATCGGACGCTGAAACATAGGCTTATCTACACGCTAGGCATGTTCCTTTATATACAGCAGTAAACGTACAGATGCTACCAGCCGCCATTAAACCTCACCCTGGTTAAAGAGTAATTGATAGTTAGGGAAATCAGTTGTTGTGATTTTGAGTTTATTTCTGGAAAATTGATCAGGCCACCCCCCACTTAGACGTGTGTGAATATTTTCTCAGGTTTGGTATACGAGGCAAGTCGTCGCTGAAAGATTTTTCCATCAACTTCAAAGATCTAAATCTGGGGGATCTCAGCAGGAAAGGTCGGAGGTGTAAACTTTACAAGTAGGTCAAAAAAAGGATAGGGTTTATACATTTTTTCAAGTAGGTCACACAAGGATAGGTGATTGTAAAGTTGACAAAAATGTCAAAAAAAAAAGGTGTAGTTATTTTTACTTTTGCTAGAAGATCAAACAAGGGGCGTGGTTTGTAAACTTTGTAAGTGGGTCAAATTAAATGTAAAATGAACACTTATGTCCAGAGATGGAGCTGTAAACTGTATAACTAGGTCGAATAAGGGGTCAGGCTTGAATAAAAGTAGGTCAAATGAATGATAGGGTTATAGACTTTGCAGATCGATAAAATGAATGTGGACGGTATAAACGAGAGGGAGAGCATATTACTGCTAGCTCCAAAAGTTCTGAGTTCGGACCTCGTGGTAGATGACAGCAACGCATCTACGAGAGTACACTTCGTAATCAAACAACAGCCGCCTTGCAGATTGTTCTTTGGTGGACACAAGATTTGGAAATCTAGAAAGTAGATTCAAGTGGGAGTCATTGGGCCTATGGTGTTTACCGTGATGACATGTAGTACTTATTGTATAGGAGGAAATCGCCTTCTAAGGTACAACTATCAATAGAGAAAAAACAACAAGCAAATTATTTTAAAAAGTCGAGTTACAGATTTTATGTTACCTTGAGTCAGGGGCGTCTAGTAGGAGAAGAAGTGAGATAGAATGTTAACAGTTCAACTGAAATGACCAATGTTAACAGTTCAACTGAAATGACCAATGTTAACAGTTCAACTGAAATGACCAATGTTAACAGTTCAACTGAAATGACCAATGTTAACAGTTCAACTGAAATGACCAATGTTAACAGTTCAACTGAAATGACCAATGTTAGCAGTTCAACTCAAATGACCAATGTTAAACAAATCAACTGAAATGACCAGCCTTTAGGGATGGTCAAATGTTTTAATTAATTACAAAGGCCGCCGGGGATCGGTTTAGAAAATCTCGTGGTACCAGCGGGAATGTAATTAGCTTTAGTGGCTGGAGAACTAAAGCCGTCAGCCCTAATTGAACCATTTGCCGGGATTTGTCGATGAATTAAACATCGTGTTTACACTAGCTATTGGCTAGACAAGGCCCGCAACTATCAAAATCAACAGTTTACGAGTTTTTATCAGCTATTATTTTATTTTATTCTCTTGGGCAACTAAAGTAGGTTTTAGAAAGCCTTTTCTGGATTATAAAAATAAAATCGAAATGCCCTAGTAGTTTTATGAATCTAAATGTTCTTAAATTATATATATATATATATATATATATATATATATATATATATATATATATATATATATATATATATATATATATATAGACTTATTGGTTAGATTTTTTTTAAATTGTAATTGTACATTTTTGTAAATTTTATGTCAAGTATACTCAACCATTTTTTTTCCTCTGAAGTATAAATACCACTATTAAAATGGAAATTTAATCTCAAGTAAAAACACCATTATAAAAAGTGTATCTTTGATCTCTGTAATATGTGTAGTAATTTTGTATTCTAATGGCACTAACCCTGACCTTGTTTCTGTCCACCAGAGGTCGTTGGCATGGTGACGTGGTTGTCCATGTGTTCGGGAAGCTGCGACAGAAAGACAAGGACGCTTTCTGGGCCAACCTGGGCAAACTGTGCCGCATTCGTCACGAGAACATCATTTTATTCATGGCAGCTTGTACAAGCCAGCCTAATTTGGCCGTGGTCACGTGGTACACAACTGTTTATATGTCCCTTGTACAGTGGCGTAGCTAGGGTTTTTGGGCCCCTGTGCAAAAAGTGTTAGTGGGCCCCTCAGGGGCGTAGCGACCCTTCCCGGCGACCGGGGACAAACTTTCGATTTGCACCCCCCTCAGACTTTCGATTTGCACCCCCCTTCCTCAAACTTTCGATTTGCACCCCTCTTCCTCAAACTTTCGATTTGCACCCCCCCTCCTCAGACTTTCGAAAAAGGGCCCCTATTAGCCTTGGGCCCTATGCCTTGCTTACGCTAGCTTTACGGTAGCTACGCCACTGCCCATGTGTCATTTTGTTTCTAGGATTATAATGATAATACCGCGTCTTCACTTACTACATATTGTATTTTATGGTCTGCATGTCTAGGGGGAGAAGGAGAAATGCTACAAGTTAGTTTTATTGGGAAACATCCATCGTAACTTGTTGCGAATGGAACGGCTGGCCTAGCAACAGAACGCTACACTGCTAACCCGAAAGTCTCGAGTTCGGATCCGGGTTCAAGTCAGTAAAACATCCTTGAGTTCACCCAACCCTAGTGGATACCAAACTCAATTTAGGGAAAATAAATGCGGCTAGGCATAGCCTGACCATATTATCCCTTCATATTTCTAGAAAAAAAAATTAAAGCTACTTCATCTGTCCAATGGTTCGCTAGGTCTAAAGACGTGTTTGCTTTTTTCTAGACATGTATAGTATACATGTCGTAAGTGTAAACGTAGTGTAAGAATTAACGTCACAAAACAGTGGCGGTGGTGCGGACCGCACTAGGCAACATAATCCAACGGGGTGACACTAAAGCGATGAATATATTTTTAAGAGAAAGTCTGTTTTGTTCCAGTTAGATTAATTAATTAAAGTTGTACACTTCATTAGGCACAGGGGGACACCATCAGGGATGGGGGTGACACCAAATTACCTGTAGTTTTAGTATATCCCAATATTGTAGTTGGGTAACATCAAGGGTTACCGCACCGGGTGATATCCGATCTAGGAAAAAGTAATTAATTATTATCAGCACTTCTCTAACCCTGATCCTAGCTCACGCCACAACGTATAATCCTAAACTCTAATTACTAGTAAAACGCGTTTCTTTTGTCGCCAGAAAAAAAATATTTCATGTTTAGAATATACTTTTCGTGTTTGATTTTTAAAATTATTATATTTGTCTAATTTTTTTTGTTCTTTTTTTTTTTTTTTTTTGTTTTTTTTTTAAACACGACATAGACGGCAAAATGTAATTTCAGTTGTTTAGTAATTATTTCCCTTTTACTGATTTAGCTCGCCTCAAGGGAAATCACTGTACGAGCATATCCACATTCAACGTGAAAAGATGTCCATGCACACCAAGATAGGCGTGTTGAGACAGATCGCGCTGGGCATGGGGTATCTTCACGCGAAGGGCATTGTTCTAAGGAAGCTCAACACCAAAAATGTCTTCATTGGTCACAAAGTCAAGGTCAGCGCAATGGATTATGGGTTTCCTGACAGCGTCCATGACAGGTGGTTCTTTTGTTTTAGCTATCATAAGAGTTCGCTTGACATTTCGAAACATTACGAAATCTCTGCAAGTGTTGTTTTTTTAATAAAGTAAAACATTGAAATAAATCGATATTTCAAGCGGTAACCGGTAAGCTTTTAAGCCTACCTAAAAAAATATCAGTTTCATAATTTAGAATTTTTCTCCGCAAAGATAACGTTATACTTACAGTATTGTATTTTGAATACCTTAACAGAATCAAGTTCTGTCTATAATTTGTCCAAAGTCGTTAACACATAATGTCGCGACATATGAATAAATAACCTTTTTCTTTATCTCGTCAAAGTATTTCAACACCCGTGTACTGTAACCTCACGTTAAGGACCTGACCTAAAGTAGAGTTCACCTTTATCTTTGACCACGGCATATAAATGTACTGTGGGGTCAGTTGTATGCCTATCAGTCTATACTTCCCCTAACGTAATTAAGATACACATCAGAGCTGGGTAACTCACGGATGCTCTGCGGACTGCGGGGTCTAAACTGGAGACTTTCGGGGATGGGAGGGTAGTACAACAGCAGTCTTTATTTGAAGCAGGCTTAAAATTATTTATTTGTCTAAAACTACAAGCAGGCAGAGAAAAAAAACTATTTGAGACATACATTTGATACTTGCTTCTTGCAAGATTACATAATCATTTAGTCTAACGTTTGCAGCAGATACTTTGAATTCCTTCCATGTCGTAAGCAGACTTAAAAACTACAAAACTCTTATGTTCTGAAGCATAACTGCCTTATAGAAAATCTATAGCACTTTATAAATTTCGAATGACCACAGTCCCTAGTGGTGAACCCGTTATCCGATTCTTCCATCAGGCCCGACTACGGCACTATTCCCCGCGGCCATCTGACCTACATTGCCCCTGAAATCATGTGTACCATTAGAGTTATGCCCCCTAGGCTTGTGCCCTTCTCGGCATACTCGCCCGAAACAGACGTATTCGCTTTTGGGTAAGTTTGTGACGTAATTACTTGTGGCAGGTCTTGTTACATCCTTGTACATTTCTAAAACACTAACTTTTTTTTCTACGTACGTGTCCTTGAGGAATAGCATTAGAAAATATCACATAGTAAAAATGACTACATTTAATTTTTAGGTTTATTATTGAAATTTAAACAGTTTCGGAAAATGAACTTTTTTTTTAAATCGCTTTAGAAAATATATCATAACGACTTTACCTGGGTAGAGAAAAAAAAAGAAGAATTTGTGTGTGAACACAAGCTACAGAATTAGGAGATAATATAGATATTTAAGTCGTCTTGGGGGGGGGGGGGGGAGAAAGGGGGGGGGAGGAGGGGGGGGGGGACTATTTATTTCTTAGATTAGCCTGCATTTTAAAATAAGGTTGCGCAAATCAATGTTATGTTAAATGAATAAGCCATTTATTACTTTCACCTCAAGTTAATAACTATTGACATTTCAATTGTTTATAAATCGATGATTAAAGATGTTTTTCTGTTGGCAAAACCTGTGTAATTAAACTAAGTATTTAGCTTGTTTTGTCTGAGTTAAATCTAAACCTCAGGCCAGTGAGATTTTTTGGAAGAGTGGGGGGGGTGGGGTATTTAGACCAGTTCGCGTTACTTCGTGGTACAGGAAATTAAGATGGGGAAGAATTGTATTTAAAAACCTCCTTTTCTTTAACACTGGGCCTTAGTTTATGTGCGTGCTAATTGAAGAGACGCACTCAACTTTGATCAAGAGGTTTTATGAGAAGAAACTCTCGCGACATCACGTTAGGTAATAAAATCACGAACACATTTTCTTTATGTTTACAGCAGTACATTTTACATAGTTATAGTTTGACTTTCTATATAAGTAGGACATTACGCGAGAGTTAAGAAGTTCTAAAATTATGATTATTTTTAAAATGATTATTACTAAAGCGGTTAATTTTACCTGAAGTAAAGATGTTTACGATATTTAATAGTTAGGTCCAATTTATACGAAGACAGATTTAAAAATAACCGTCTCAAGGGTTAATGTAAAGATGTGTGAATAATCGAATAATCGTTCAGACATTTTTTTTCTTTGGATTGGGGAGATGGGGGGTACATGAAACTTTCGGGGAGGGGAGCGACTAGTTGATTTGTGTTATATTTTGTATAAGCATTCTATTTTTATAGTGTGGAGGGGTACGGTAGACATGCTTGTGGGGGGGGGGGGAGGCCTGTAAAGAACCTCCTCTCTTGACTGTTCAGACCTGTATTAATGATAACCTGAGATGTAATTCAATGTTTAGTTATGTATTATGGTTTGTTGTTTTAGTTATTAAAAACGGTGACTGTTATTAAAACCTTAGTTGCTATTTTATTGAAATTTTGTAAAAAAAAATAAAAAAAATAATGGATGTACATTTGCCACTGCAGAACGATAATGTATGAAGTGCTGACTGGCAAGTTCCCTTTCCAAGAATCTGTGCCAGAACGGATTATCTGGCAAATATGTGCAGGTCACAGACAAATACTTTATTCACTCAAATGTAGCACAGCCATCAAGGCAAGTTTCAGCTTTTCTTTACCTCGCTATGTAAAAAATCTGGTAACATTTCGGGCTAAGTCTGCTATTTCTTGATAGCATGATATTAAAATTATTTTAGCCACAAATTAGAGGTAATACCTATTTTTAAAATATATTTATTATTGCTTGGTAATTATAGCTACTGATTAACTAATTAATTATTTTAGACTCTAATCGAAGATTGCTGGGCCCACGAACCTCTCTACAGGCCAGAGTTCAGGGAGCTCTGTAAAGATTTACAGCGACACGTAAGTTTTTGGAACCGTTTCATTCTGTTACTTAACATTACCGTTTTAAAGTGTGTGTACTTAGCATTTTTCTGTTCATAATATTACCATGTTTCAACTTTATTTACTTCGGTTTCGAATGTGTTGCATTGAGTTATGCATGGTTTTTTTTCACTATTTTCTTCCAGTCTCCTCTCCACAAGAAACACAGCTCTTCAGAGCCAGAGAGACTAAACAGAGCTCACGATTTGTTTGAAAGCTAAAGCTGGAGAAGCTAGTCAAGATACCCATGCCAAAATACAATAATCAAGCCTATCATCGTAGACTTAAGCATCAAACCTGTCATAGACCAGCATCACATCAAACCTACCACAGACCAGCATCACATCAAACCTGCCACGGACAAGCACCAAACCTACCATACACCAGCATCACATCAAACATATCACCAACCAGCATCACATCAACCCTGCCATAGACCAGCATCACATCAAACCTGCCACAGACCAGCACCAAACCTGCCATAGACCAGCACCACATCAACCTGCCACAGACCAGCATCACATCAAACCTGCCATAGACCAGCACCACATCAACCTGCCACAGACCAGCACCAAACCTGCCATAGACCAGCACCACATCAAACCTGCCATAGACCAGCATCACATCAAACCTGCCATAGACCAGCACCACATCAACCTGCCACAGACCAGCACCAAACCTGCCATAGACCAGCACCACATCAAACCTGCCATAGACCAGCATCACATCAAACCTGCCATAGACCAGCATCACATCAAACCTGCCAGAAGACCAGCATCACATCAAACCTGCCATAGACCAGCATCACATCAAACCTGCCAGAAGACCAGCATCACATCAAACCTGCCATAGACCAGCATCACATCAAACCTGCCAGAAGACCAGCATCACATCAAATCGGCCATAGACCAGCACCAAACCTGCCAGAAGACCAGCTTCACATGAAACCTGCCACGGACCAGAATCACATACAAATTTGACAGTAACCAACATAACAGATGACTGATTCAGACATATTGAGACTGCATTAGTCATCTTGAGCTGTTTATCTATGTAGACACATTTAGATGCCTGGCATCTGACATTTTACAGAAAGCTGGTTTTAAAAAAAGGCTACCAACTATTGAAAATTATAACTCTGGGAGGCTGTGGTTAAGCGAGTTCAGACTTCCCTAAAAGTATTGTATAGGCCTTGGCAGGCAAATGAATGTAGGTGGACCCTTGTTATACCCCGGTGAACATGTCCTCTACACCCCTTCGTATTACATGTAATGTATTATTATGTTTTTATATATGGACTGTATATATGGCATCCAGATTGTACATACACATACATTATAAGGCAAGTTTGTTACACTGACAGCTGCCCACAGGTCAGCAGTGTGAGTTAACTGATATGGCTGCTGCTTGTCTAATGTCATATTACAGGTTGGATAACTGACATGTCATAAGTTAGACAGCTGACATGTCAACATTGTGGGCTCATCGTTGCAGCTCATGACATGTCATAAGTTGGACAACAGACAAGTCAACAATATGACAATGTTTTTGCAACAGCTCATGCCACTGACCTTTAAAATGTTCATTTCTTAAATCGGCAATTTGCTAAAATAAAATTTTCTAAATATATTTTTTTATTTTTGTTGTACTCCTTTCAATTGTTTTTTTAAATTACTTTTTCTTCTATTAAAAATGATCCTATCAATAGTACCACAAGTAAAACTTACTGTACAGCAATGCAAACAGAATCACAATTTTTAAAATTCTAAATATTAATATAAAGCAATTTATTAATAAAATAATAAAATAGAATCATAATTTTTTTTATACTGCCCACATTGTACATACTGAATTTTAATTTTTAATTTCAAAATGCACCAGAAAATCTTTTTTTTTAAATTGTTAACCTGAGTTGATCCCCCTAAAAGTTTTTTTTTCTTCAATATCAGAAAATTATTTACAAATATCATTCAAATAACATTATTTTTAAGATGAGTAAAAATTACACACTGCCTTATCTAAGGTACCTAACAATGCTTTATAAAACTTAATGAATGCAACTTCATTATCTACACACACAAACAACAAAAAACAAGGTATTTACTGTCTATCAATGTAACAATACAATGAATCCATATTTGATATGTTCAAGCTTAATCCAATGTAAAACATGCATGGATAGCAAATCCTGCAAACACACACACAGACACACTATTATGATATTAATTCACAAAGTACTTCAAAAATCCCTGGGCACTCACTCACCAAACAGCATTTTTTACATTTGTAAGATCTGGATGCTGAATTATATGTCTAGTGTCGTAACGAATGCAACAAACAGGAGTAAAGGTAAAACAGTTTGTAGAAACAAATGGGCAAGGACTCAACAATTCCCTAATGTTCTGTTATTACAATAAACCCAGTCATATCCGTACACACTCAACACTACTAATCTGTGTCCATTCAAATAAATCAAGGGAGATTAATTAAGTAAAATGAGATGGGGGGAAAAGCCAAAAAATTAAACTTCAAAAAAAAAATTTTCAAGCAGAAAATGAATATTTGTAGTGAACAATTTGTTCTGTCGTCTCTTGTTCAATTAATAAAATTGGCTGATGCTCATAGCTGCAATACATATACACAATGTTCCTAAAATGTCCTAAACAATTTTTTTCTTGATGAAAAAGCTGCGCAAATGAAGGTACTGCCAGACACCAAGGGCTATAACCACAGCTGTCTGTACAATGGCCCAGATGAACACCCTCTGGTTGGTGCTCTCACTGGTGAAGCGAAACCTCTCCTCGCGCTCCTGAAACACACACAAGACACCAGCTTTTAGACTTGGTTCCAAACTGGTATATTTAATCTTTGTAAATATGTATAGACAATAGAGCCTGCATTATTGCAAATTTTAGATTGCATTAAAAGAATGTTCATCTTCAAGAAAATTGGAGTAGGTTTTGTTGGGCAAAAATCATGTACAGTTCCAATGTTGTAATATCAAAAATGTGAGCCAGAGTTAGTTAAAAATAAAGATATATTGTAAGGGTAAATAGTATGTTAAAGGTAAGGGTAAAAACAGTATGTAGGTGAGATTACTTGTTAAAAAAACCCACGGGTTATAGTTTAGAGAAATACAAACAGAACTAGTGAGATTATCAGATAGGAAATGACAGCTTCTAATCATTCCTTAGACAATCAAATTTGACAGCAGATATAATGAATGTCATAAGCTTAGGTGGTCAAGCTGTTTGCATGTAAGCAGATACTTGCATGGTAAGAGAATGAAATAAACTTACCTAAAATAAACAATCCTTGTAGCAAATATTAAAACATTAACTCAATGACAAGGGTAAAATATTGTAAACTGCAGTAAAATAGTTCCACTGCCCACCCACCCCAAGTGGCTGTCTGCACCTATTATTTCAATGGTTACATGTAAATAATTGTTGGATAAAATATAAAGGGAGAGCAGTGTTTCAGATAGTTTTTATTTCATTCAACTTGTTGCTAAGCTCATTTCATATCCCTAAATAAATTAACAATTTACAAAACACGAGTCTAATTGAATCAATAAATGTAATACATTACAACAGATTTGGTGATCTAACACTGAAATTTTAATATGAACAAAGTGAGAGAAATTAAATATTATCAACTACAGGAATACAGGCTTTATTGAGTGTTATCATTTGACAAAACAAGCAACTATATCAACCAGAAAATTAAGATAAGAAACTTGTTATTGCGCATGAAAACTTTACATCATTTATCAAATGTTTCATTGAAACAAGAACAGCATGACTTACATGTTAAGACTACATATTTTTTATACATTGATGGTGCTGATTAGTATGATAGCTATTCTACTTAGCAATTATTATTCATTTTTATTTCATTTTAAAGGGGATCAATAACTACTAGGTAAGAAGTTTAATCAGTGCATCTGACACAATCTATGTTACCATACCACAGCAAATGACAGCATAAAGTAGTTGGTTTGATTAAAGAAAATTTTATTTAAATAAATGTATGAAATAATGGGTTTAATATCCCAGCATGGCAGTTACAAAAAATGTCGGAGATAAAAAGTTAAAAGATGAAAACAAAATGAGAAGATAAGCCAACACCCACCTACCCACAGATACCACATTTGCTGCAGATACTCAACAAAATTTGTACATCAGTACCAAAAAAATTCACACAACATTCACTCTCAATCAAAATACTTTGAAAAACCTTTTTTAAAAATAAAATTCTACATAACAGTACTAATTAAAATTTAAAAGCCAAGAACTCAATAATATACATATATCTCAATTATTCAAAGTTTTCATGTTTTATCTTCCAAAGACACTCAAAACATCCACATCTCAGGTAAAACCTCCAGACTAACAAATAAGCACTAGTTCTCCCAAGTTTAAACAAGTTTCTTAGCCTCAAAGAAACTCTTAAGATGCTGCATCTGCCAGAATCCTGTGATGAGAAGTATAAGGGTCTGAGCTATGGACCACCACAATACTCGCTGGTTAGTGCTTTCACTTGTCTGTCTGAACCTCTCCTCGCGGTACTGAAGAAAATCATGATAATCAAAGGTAGAAACAGGAATGGTCAATATATGCATTAGTAGTAAAAGCACAAAGCAAAGGAATCTGTGTGCGATTAATCCAGGCTTAGGAATATAGCATTTGGATAAATGCAAGGAAAATTTCAAAAATATTTCACTTGGAGACAGATGCAGCACCTCAATACAACTTAGAATATAAATAATTTTATAAATAAAATTAGCAGTTATATCTGGTTTTTCACCTCAATTTTAATGAATATAGGCGCATAAATTTTGTTGAAAACCTATATATAAATCTGGGGAAAAACTGTTTAGTCTATAAACAGTAATGGAGGCAGCAAAGTAAAAATAAACAAGAATAAAATATAAATATATTCCACCATGTTGACCCATAGAAAAACAAAAAACCACTAAGAAAAATTGAACTGTTTTAACTAAGTAGCATAAATCAAAATGTTTTTGTGATTTCTTGACACAGTCAAAAATTGTGATTATTTTTTTTTAAAGAATTATTAAATTATTCAATTACAAAAACAGATCTTTAATTAACTTATTAATTCGAATTTGAGATTAAATAAAATATAATTGCTTTTTTGCAATTTAACTTGCATTATTTCTCAATCAAAACACAATGAAGTTAAATTACAAAGTGCTGTAATTATTGAAAAGGTTAACAGTTATATCAAAACAAACAGGAACCTATTTATAGGTCTTATAAATTAATTTTTTAAAGCATTGTTATAAATAGTGAATTAGTTTTATGAAATGCCAAATTTACTAATACTAGGTTCATGAAGTTTACAATGTGGTATGCAAGGTATATTTAGTGCAATCTTTACCTCTGCAAAATGATCTCCTTAAAATACATTTATAGTGTAATACAAAATTAGGCACACAGAAGACAGGCAAACACAAGTTGTTAGAGTAGAGGTGAGTGTTCATCATTAGTGAAACCAAGAGTGGAGAGGGGACACTGGGTAAAACAAGAGCAGCAAATGTGTACTTACCCTCTGGTAGTTTTGCTCTTTAGTGATCTGCTCCACCTGGTCCAGCAGCTGTCTCACCCTCAACTGCAGCTCAGTCAGCTTGTCCTTGGCCTGAACCTGCTGGTAGTCTACGGCATGCTCGCCCACGTTGATGTCCAAATGTACTCTCTGGATAGACACATTACATGACATGTTATTTAATAACTGTCTTTAACACAAAAAAATGTACTGCATTTTGAATTGACCAGTGCGTCTAGACAATAAAATACCCACCAGTTGACCAGCATTGAACCAAGCAGATGAGTTAGAGTTGAGGCAAATGACATGCTCTCCAGCTGTGTGGGAGGTGAAAGTAAATCGACCTTCAGCAGCATATGTCTGAAAATTGTTAGACAATTTAATTATATTGATATACATAAAACAAGATGGTAATCATGTGATTTTAAAAAGATAACCAATCTTGTTTAAACTACTTTTAAGAAATGACGAGCTTAATAACTAGCTTGAAAATAATTTTTTAACTTATTTACTTTTGGCATTATTCTGATAACTGTATAAATTGTTGTTTGGTGTAAATATATTGAGGCTCAATGCTTAAAATATTATGTAACTAGAAAATTTAAAGAAGTAAAACAGAACAAAATGTTCTAAAAATGCTGAGAATGACCCATTAAAAAAAATCTACATCATGCTTAAGTGCATCATGCTTACAGTGCAGCCCATTTTAAAACACAATAAATTATACTTTTGTGTGCATATAATACTGCGTTTACACTCGTGACATGTATACTATACATCTAGGAAAAAACTCGCATCAAGTTAGTATACATGTTTTGTGGGATAATGTTTTCATATTTAAAATTTTCCCTAGACCTGTATAGTATACATGTTGCAAGTGTAAATGCTGTGTAAGAAACATAAAACTAACCAAATTTAACTCACTAACAAATTAATTCAAGGTAAATAACATGCAAATATAATTTAATCAATATTGTAGGCCCTAAATGGTAAAACAAATCAAGTAATTGTACATAGTAAAATGATCAGTCTAACCAAACCATCAAAACAAGCCAGCATGCTGTTAGTACAAAAAGGAACATAAACTAAATGAATAATAAAAAAAAAGCAAACTGCTTTACTCCAAACTAGACACTAAATATCAAAGTGCTTGGAAGGGAAAAAAATAAACAAAGAAAATTTGCATTAAACAAATGATAATCTTCAGTTTAATTTATCTGGGCTAAAGTTGTCAACTCACCCTAGATAATATAACCTTACTGTCAGGATCATTAACTTCTACATGCATGCCAATATCAGGTGAGACAGGCATGTAGTCTTTAGTATTGTGGTCATAAGCTTGGACTTTATAGTTACCTGCAAAAACATGTAGGTTACACACCTTGAACCCCATAGACTACACAGGTTAGTTAAGTATTATGTTAGTATGGGTCAGGAATGGAATGAAAAAATTAGTGGGAATTTTTTCTGTGGTGTTAGTGGTTCTCTAAAAACCAGCTATAAAGAAAGTGCTTTTTAATGGGTAAGCCACATGAAGCCAACTACAACATTCCCCAGCATATGATGTTAAGACAAATTTGCTATTATCAAATTATAAGCACTAAGGCTTCCTTATCGAATATATTTCTTATAATACAAATAAAACATTTTAAGTACCATAGAATAGTCACCATTTAAACTGGGTACTTTTCAGCATTAGTGTAAACTTGCAACAAGGAATTACCAAAAATATATATATAAAAGATACGCTAGGTAATAATAGTATGTTCTAACTTCGATCAGTATTTTGTTTTGAAAAAGAAATATATTGGCACCATATGTTTTATGATATCTAGGATATAAACTCTGCAAGCTTCAACTTAAGAATTGTGTAAGCTGCATGCATAAAATACAAAACAATGTTTTCTGTGTTAATTGTAAAAAAAACTGAGTAGTGTATTTAATTACACTGTAACAAAACCCCTACTGACAACTCCATGTAAACAGACAACTATAATATATAATGCACAGTGGGTATACAATTTACAACAAGCAGGCAGTACACTGGGGAATATTTCTGGATTGATTAAACCTCTGGCTCCACGCCTTACCCTTGATAAAATAATACGGTCATCAGGGTCTCTACATTCTACGTGCATGCCAAGCCCATAGACGGTTGGGACAAAAGCATTCACGTTTTTATCATACATTTCCACTTTATAATTGCCTGAAACAAGATTTGTTTATTAAAAAAAACACCCTGAAAGTGTGGAAACATTTACAAGACATTTTGAAGTAATTCCTTTATTTAAACTATAGTAATGGTTGCATACATGAACATGATAATTTCTTAAACAGCTTTGTTTTTACTAAGCTTTAAACTTCTTGGGACAACCGGGCTGACCTATCATCCGCCGGTTTTATAGCCAAAAAAAGAAGGGCCGATCCATTGGCTAGATGTCAGCCGTGATAGTGGAAGCCACATGATTGGCTTTCTAGTATCATATTAGCCGGCTTCAATTGAAAGTTTGCCTCATTTTTTTTTCTTTTATCACCTTTTTTTAGTGCTGTGAGTCCAATCATAAATTTCTCATGTCCAACAGTCTAATCATCAAAATATACTTAAATATACTTAAAAATTCTAAAAATAATAATCAGTAAATTAGTGCAGACTATTGAATAGACATTTGTGTGTGTATTTAGATTAGACTTACAGAGGAGAAAAAAACTTTTTTTTTAATGAAATTTACTGTAATTTAGTTCAGTCCAATTTTTTTAGGGCATAAATTATTAAGCTCACATATAAATATATAGAAAGCTCACATATAAATATGTTGGGATTTTATAAGTTTTATAAAAATCATATTAGCTCATTCAATTTTCTAAAGTATAATATATATTTTCATGAATTTTCAAAATATTTTCAAATTTTTTGTGTGATACAAGTGCAAAACTTAAAAGTAGGCTCCGTCTTCATAGCACCAGCTCTCAAATAAAGCTATGTCTTAAAAGGGTTAATATTTTTCCTTACATAACATGTAAAAATGGTGAAGATCTATCAGCGTACAAGGCGCCATTTAATTATTATCTGATTGATGAAATCTGATAGTACCAAAGAGGGAAAATCCACACAAAAACCTATCAGTTCACCAATTTACAGTCATGTCTCATCTAAAAATAATATAATATGAGGGGGTGTTGTAGGCTGAGGTGTGGCGTCATTTGAGGGGGGGGGGGGGGGGGGGGGGGTTGGCTTTTTGTGACAATGTGTGACAGAGGGGAGAGGGGAGGTAAAAATCATCAAAAAAGTGTGACGTCATTTATGTATGACCCCTAACTGCAATAAAACAAAATTTGTTAAAATATTGCAAATACTGTTTTTTGTTGTTTTTGATTTTTATGGTTGCTTTGATTGCAAAATCTAAAAAACATTCTTTTTATCCATGTCTACAATAAGATGGAAGGATTCTTGTCAACTCAGTCATGTCAATTAAAAACAAAAAACAAAAGTCAAAAACTGATCTATGCTGATCTAGGCCTAATACTAATGTGTCTTCTCACTCTCTTCACTGGGACAAGCATTGTCTAACGATGCTATGGTCGTAAAATGTCATAAATCCGTTCTCAACTAGATCTAGATCTATCTGCAGCCTGTCATTTTTGCAATGGGACTTGCAGTGATTTGAGTTATGATCTAGATTCTAGTTCTAGAATAGATCTAGATCTAGCTCTATATGTTACATAAGACCTTAATAATACATACATCTAGTTATTTAGATAATAATAGGCCTATAGATCTAGATTTTATGGTCTTGTTTGATTCTCGAACTTAACCCTTTGAGCCCGCCAGGCCGGTAAACCGGCTTCAACATGAGGCATATATGTCCGAAAAGCCGTTTTTCCGGCCCGATGATCTAGCGTCATATTCCTAGAGGCCGGTATACCGTCTAATTACATATAATTAGCGGAAGACTGACTAAAACTGCGCATATGTCTTTTTAGTGTAGGATTATGATTCTAAAAATAGATTTTAGGAAAAGTAAAGTGTTTACATTTTGTAGCAATGCCGCCGAAACGAAAAGCTGAGTCACAGCCATCGACTTCAGCACATAAAGATGGAGCAACAGACCGAAATATCAACAAAAGAAGTAGAACGACTGCATCTCAGGCAATACAACTACTTATTGATTCTGATGAAGAAGATAATATTCCTGGTCTAGACTCTATATTGATGATTGTGATGATAGTGACGTTGAATTTGAGACTGAACACAGTGATATTGAAATTAACAGCTACAATGAAGCTGTTCAAGTACGTTCTGATGCACGTGGTGTAAAACTTCAGACTCCTTGGCGTGTTGATAATAACTATGCGTTCGTTTTATATACATTGTTCTGTTCATACATTGTAAAAAAATTAAGAATTTCCTAATCTTGCTGCATTTTTATTTGATCCTGAGTCTGGATACCAAATTTGGCTTGATTATCTCAAACGATTCAAAAGTTATAGGCAAAGTTAAAAGCAGATAAGCGAAAATTAATTTGGCCCTGGGAGCTCAGGAAATGGGAGAAATTAGGCCAGGGAGGCCAGGGCTCAAAGAGACCATCTCAACATCTGAAACCGGTCAAACCAAAAAATAACGGTAATCTATCGTTTTGGGTACGTAAAATCGGCCGCGGCTATTAATGTACGAAAACGTTACCTCATTGTCAAGGCTGTAATAGAAGTATATTGTAATATGTTTGTGTCAAATATTATAGATAAATGAATAATAAACCTAAATCAATGGCTAAATATATCAATATAGGCCAGAAATTAACTTTAAACAGCTGTGTCTGCAAGCAAGATTTGCTATATAAACAGCAGCCATTTGTAAAATAGAGTAACTTCCGCCTGAATCTCGCGCTATATGTCTATAAAAATAAAACTTTAATAAGATGGCTGCTATAGTAAATGAGCGTGGTTGCATCTGTTGGAAACATCGCTGGTGTTCATTTATTACTGAAAAGTTTTAATTCAATTGATTAAAAACAGGTACATAAATGAAAAAAGGAAACATTTTTGTATTTTTCAAAACATAAATCCTCCTCAAAATGTGAAATAATTATTAAAATGTAAGGAGTCACCTGTTTTTCACATTACTAGTCGCGGCCGATTTTACGTACCTAAAACGATAGATTACCAAAATAACTTTCTTTGCACTACACTAAACACTTGACTACACACAACGACTCACCAAAATATGTTTAACAAAGAAGTGCATATCTAGATCTAACTGAAATAACTTACCAACAACCATTGTTTCATCTGGTATTTCTTCTATGAAACACTTTCTTTCAGTTTCGCCAATGTGAAAATAAAGACCATATGAAACTTGTAAAAAGCTGATCGCTAACACTACTACTGTTGACAACGCCATGTTGGCACTTTGAAAGGAAGTTATGTTTCAAGCCTGCGCAATGCACGGCCACGTATTGTTTTAGGAAGCGGAAAGCACAAAAGTGGTGGTTACCAAACTTGTATTTTGCAGTTACGTACCCATAGCAACCAATTTCCTTACACCTAAAATTTGTCTCCTGTATTTAAGATGTCACTTTAGCGAATATATCCGTCTAACAGTTTAATAATATAAAGAATATTTTAACATAATATAGCTAATTACAAAATTAAAAAGTACATTTACAAGATTGGCTTATAAAATAAGTGGCAGATAGAAAATGGGTTCTAGTTTATTTCTGCAACCTCTTCAGGGGGGGGGAGGGGGAACAAAATATATATTTTTTTTTAAATACATACATTTACCAGTGTCCATCAGCCGCCTCCCCCTCCCCCCCTCCCCCCCCCCCCATCCCCCCCCCATCCCCCTACAATTTCAAGCCCCCCCCCCCCCCCATCAGAGAATAAAATCTGAAAGAAACATTGCCCAAAAAATGTCCACCGCCCCCGCTATTCTTCCCCCCCCCCCCCCCCTCCCGAAAGAAGTAGAAAAAACTTTCAATAGAAAATATTTAGACCCCTAATTTAGTCCCGTCCCCCCACCTTCATTATAAATTAAATCCATGTTTATTAAGTTGTGTTAGAAGCTACTAATATTGGCACATGTCGGTCCTTATTCGGTAGACCAGGTTTGCACACAGTCTACACCTAGTGCAAAGTAGGCAGATGCTTCATCAGATCCAGTGTATGCTACTCAGTGTTTCTAACAGATATTTTTCTCGGGTGTGGGGGTCTGGGTGCTTAAAACTTCCACGCGGGAGCGGACACTGGTTAAAATATTTTATAAATATATATGTCTGAGTTCAATAATAACTAGATTTTATATTTTCTATAATAGATTGACGACAGAAGCCTGTGGTTGTATATAACACATTTATTTGGGTCTAACTACCTCGATGGTAACACACAGAGAGGACGGGAGGAAGTACACAAGGGACCTCACTCAAGATAACAATATTATAAATATAACTAATACAGAAGAGTGAGTTCCCTTGACCTCACAATTATTTCAATCTATTACATCCCTTTACCCTTAGAACACAATAACACATCTCTCAATAGAACAATTGATAGTATCCTAAAATCACCAATTATATTGTAACATGAACACTATGGTAGATTACATCCTTACAAACAATGCACAATATGCTACAACATAATCAAAATACAAAACAATAATGTCAAAGTCCTTTTGACCTTTAGAATCATAGGTCTAACTTATTTGGGACCTTGATTGTCCTGCTTGACCTTCTCAGTGGCTTCTGATTTGGTGACTCAATATTCTGACCATCTGGATTCTCTATCTCAGGAGGTCTAGGATTTAAATCATTAACTCCAGAATTTACATTTTCTGACTCCAGACAACTTGGTTCACTCATATCAACAGAACTTGGTTGTGGAACAAACTGAGTTGGTGTGAACTGTTCAGATTTGGTGGGATTGATAGATTCACACTTATTATCTGCACAAGTTATTTTTAACTTTATAAGACACAGGTCCTGTACATTGAACAATTTGACCTGGTATCCATTTTTCCTTTTTCCCATAATTTCTTAGATACACATTCTCATTAACACCAAATTCTCTTTCAATGAATGTTTGTCATGATTTAATGGAACTATTTTTGAATTGGCATCTGAAAGTATTATGCTATTATTCAGATCCTTAACCGACATAGATTTCTTTGATTGATCAATTTTCTCAGGTAATCTGATAGTGCTTTCCTGGTAACCAAAAATACTGTTTACAAGTAATATCCTGGACCATATCACTTTGCAACTGTGATCCAGTATTTGAAGTGGGTGTATTAAATGGCAAAAATCTTTTTCTTTTGATGTTACCCTTTTAGTTTCTGTAAGTGCTAATGATGTTAGCAAAGTTGTTTGATGATCACATTCCTTCTTACTAATGTATTCTCTTTAAAACATTTGAAATTGCCATATCACCATAATCATTTATTAAGTTACAAATACTTTGTTTAGGCAACTCTGACTGATAATGGACTGCATCTTCTCCATCTTTTATATTATCTTCACAAAGGGTTTTTATTTCTTATTTAATATGGCCTTAAGTCATCATTCACAGACTCTTCAGGCCAACCATTCTTACAGTACTCATATATTTTTATTAAGCACTCATCTTTTTGTGTTTCTCTTTTAATATCATTCACATTTATATTGGAGTTATCCATGATAGTGAAGAGAACAAATACATCTTCTGGTACATAGCTCAGGCTTTGGTTTTTTAAAGGTAATCTACTAAGACTATCTGCACTATTCTCAGATCCAGGTTTGTATTTCAATTCATAATTGTATGCAGTTAGTGTGATAGCCCATCTTTGAATTCTTGGTGAGGCATGCTCAGGTAGGGTTTTGTTTTCTCCAAATAAACCTAGCAATGGTTTATGATCTGTAAAGATGGTGAACTTCCTACCAAACAGAAACTTATGAAATTTCTTAACACCAAAAATGATGCCTAAGCCTTCCCTATCTAACTGAGAATAATTTTTCTCAGCCTGGTTCAAAGATCTACTGGCAAAAGCAATGGGTCTGTCACCCTTCTCATCCATGTGGGACAAGACTGCTCCTACACCATCTGGTGAAGCATCACATGTCAATACAAGTCTTTTCCCTGGGTCATAGTGAGTTAGTAAGGTGTCAGCAGACAAAGCCTCTTTTGCTGTATTAAAAGCAGCTTCTTGTTGTTTACCCCAGTGCCAAGTTGCATTTTTCTGTAGCAGCTTGTACAGTGGTGATAGTTTACCAGACAGATTCCCTATGAACTTTGCATAGTAATTTATCAAGCCCAAAAAAGCTCTTAGTTGTTGGGTATTTTCAGGTTTGGGTGCTTCTTTAATGGCTTTTGTTTTCTCAGGTTGAGGTCTGATGCCTTGTTTGCTCAATATATAACCAAGAAAACTAATTTCTGTCAACATGAATTGACATTTATCTTTGTTTATCTTTAAACCTTTTTCACCAACAATTTTCAAGACTTTATCTAGTGTTTTAAGATGTTCAGTGTCATTCTTACCAGTTATGTACACATTGTCAAAGTACACACAAACATTTGGAATGTCCTTAAAAATACTGTCCATGACAGCTTGGAAAATTCCAGGACTAGATGATATGCCAAAACATAGTCTTTCATATTGGTAGAGTCCTTTATGTGTGTTTATTGTCGTATAGACTTTTGAATCTGGATGCAGTTCTAGTTGAGTGTAAGCATGACTAAAGTCTAATTCAGTGAATTTGTCTCCTCCTGCCAAATTCAAAGAAATTTCCTCAATGTTAGGTATAGGGTACCTATTTAGCTCTATTTGCTTATTCAGTGTAGTTTTATAATCTCCACAAATTCTTATAGAACCATCCTTCTTTAACACTGGCACAATGGATGTCGCCCAATCGGAATAGTCTACCTTCTTTATAATGCCATTAGATTCCAATCTACTTAGCTCATTTTCAATTTTATTCCTCATTGCATAAGGTGGAACTCTAGCTTTGCAGTATCTTGGATTTGTATCTTTAATGCTTAACTTCACTGTTCTATCATTTAGTAAACCTGAGTTACCAAAAACACATTTATTTTCAGATATAACTTTATCTAGTGAAGTAAGACTAGATTCTTTTACATTCTTCAATGAACAAATACTCTCCCAATTTAACTTAAGATCACTTAACCAGTTCCTACCTAGTAATGGCGGTAACCAGTTCCTACCTAGTAATGGCGGTCCATTTCCTTCAACCACAAGAAGAGGAAGTTTAACACTTTGACCATTATAACTCACATGAACCATACACTCTCCTATTACCGGAACATTGTCACCAGTGTATGTTGTTAGACACTTGTGACATGGTTGTAGAGGCACTGATCCTCCAGTGACAGCGTCAAAATCTTTCTTTGTTATGAGTGTTAGAGATGCTCCAGTGTCAAGTTGGAAGCTGATGCTCTTACCGTTGATATAAACTGGTACATTGATGGGAGCATGACTTATTGATTTAACAGAGAACAGGTTGAAATCCGGCTGCAAATCAATTTGAGAATTTTCACAGGTAGAGTGGTTCATTGGCTGGGTTAGGTAGTCTTGGTGAGAGTTAACATAGTGCTGCCTTTGGTTGCGGTACTGTCTTGACTGGCTAGATTTAGCAACAGACGAAGACTTTGCAAAGCAGGCCTTGGCAATGTGACCTTGCTTACTGCACTTATAACAAGTTGCAGACTTGAACTTGCACCGATGAGATGCATGGGGACCTTTGCATCGATGACATTTTTGATAATTATTACTAGATTTAGATCTAGGATTTGAACGAGCAGGCTGTTTAGCATAAGTTGGAATGCTCTGTTGGGGTTGATGTTTATTGACTAACCTGCTGTTTACTGCATGGATCCCTGAAGGCGTAAGAGATTTCGCCGCATCTGATGACTGCTGGAATGAAATTGCAAGTTGTATTGCTTTTTCCAATTTTAGATCTGACTCGAGCAGCAACTTTCTTTGAATATCGGGGCTGTTTACACCTGTCACAAACTTTTCACATAGTCTGTCAGACAGCGTATCGCCGAATTCACAAAATCTACTTAAATGACGTAAAGCAGCAACATATTCTGATATTGACTCGTTTGGTTGACGAGTCCTACTGTCAAATCTAGCTCTACATAAAAACTTTGATGGGGTAGGCGCATGGTGGTCTGTTAGCAATTTGCTCAGCTCGTTAAAGCTCTTGGTATCTGGACTAGCTGGTGCGCATAAGTCTTTTAGTAGCCTAAATTGTTGAGGCCCTATGACTGTTAACAAAACAGCTCTCTTTTTGGCTTCTATCGTCACGTCGTTAGCTTCTAGGTAAAAGCTTAACCTCTCTAGGTAATCTTGAATGATTTCATCATTCGCATCAAATTCTTTTATTTGGCCATACAGCGCCATAATTCTAGAAATAATTAGCTAATAAGCTCTAGCAAACCTCTTTTTT